AACCTATTTCAATACAATGTCTTCTAAAACCCGATTTAAGTACAGTATTAACATTTCTATTTGAAGTTTTGGTAGCTTTACAGTGCATATATGACTGATCTGCATTTCGTGCATATCTGGATGATGGCAGTATGTCACAGCCATGGGCCAAATAGCAAAGAGAAAGTATCATGGAATTACAGCATTAACATTTCTATATAAAGTTTCGGTAGCTTTACAGTGCATATATGACTGATCTGCATTTCGTGCCTATCCGGATGATGCCAGTATGCCACAGCCATGGGCCAAATAGCAAAGAGAATGTATCATGTAAAAATGAAGAAGTGAACTCGTGATCACCTGGATAAAGGTGTGAGCATTGCAGTCATCAACTTCCAAAATGGATGCCATGTTGCCACATCGGTAACAATAGTTTGGAGCACTGAATATGGTAACAACTTTTTGTTCCTGTATATGGACAGCGAATAATCACAACAAATTACTTGCAAAAAAGGAACAGCTGAAGAAGTATCTAAAAGTTCAACCAGCTTACATGAGCCCAGTTATATCCCTCCATGACTAACTGATGAGCCCGGGCTACAAGTTTGAGATTGTTGGTGTGATTGAACTGCTCAGATATGTCCTGCGAAAAAAGAAGAATGAACAAAGTAGAACTCAGTAAATCCGCAAATAGTGCTTGTAAAAGGGGAACACAGTACTACAGTAGTACCTGCCCAAAAGTGTAGCCAGCACCACGAGGAGAAATGCCCCAACCACATCGATCGTCCGGATCAGACCATAAAAGATCACACATAGGTCCCTCATGTGGAACCTCTTGGACACGATCCAAGCTACGCACACTATCAAGATTCTCAATCGATGGAGATAAACCACCATGCAAGCAGAAAATTTCAGATTCCACCTTCAAGAATGTAAATAAAATATCAATATAGCCCCTGAACACATAATACTGAGAAAAATGCAAGAAAACCTTATTTGATAATAAGAAGGATGGAGCGCAGCTATTTTATCATACAGTTAGCAATGAATATGTTATGCATATATAGCATAAAAACAATGAGTATATTATCAACCTATCAATGAATAAGTTCAGTGTTTAATAGTCCATTCATACAACTGGGTATCTCAAGAGTCAAGACCTACCAACACTAGAAAGAGCAAGACAGCTAAAATCAACTAACAGTTAAGGTGAGAGTCATCCAAGATTGCGTTCCGCTCATCATAAAGTAAAGAATTTATGGATTGTCACATTCATACAAAGTGAAGACATTAGCCATGGTCAAAATGGGCAAGGCATGAAACATAACTATCATACAGACACCAACAAAACTGGACATCCATATAATTTAACACAAAAAAACCTCCGCACAATAAGGCTGCATGCATCTTAGAAAAATGCAGAATAATCCAAAGAAAAAGAAAGGAGGTCTAAGATTCAGAGCACACACCAGGGCTGTTAATGGGAAATAATCAAAAAGATCTGTGAATATCTTCCATACATTTGCATTGCCGTACCTGGTTAGAAAGAACGAGAACATAAATGATATTGCTAAGACAGTAATACTATCACAGACTTGTAGTAAAAATGTACTCCGTAATCAACTTATATTGGACTAAAGAGTTTGTAACTTTATATACAACATAAAAATAACATGTAATTATTCAAATTTGCTCAAAGCATATGCAGCTTCTAAGCATGGTGATAGAGCACCATCAGAAGAGAAAATCATACAACTAGTTTCACAACTCATTTGTATGCAATCAACACATCATCAATACTAATCTAATGAATCTCTACAAATGCAGGTATAAAAGACACATGAATAGATGATGCCGACTAGATTCACATACATCAACACAAGTGGCACAACTATGTATGAGAATAAGACAAGAACTTAGTTAACAGAGCACTAGGATCAGATTGAACAAGCACAGTTTTTCTAGCACAGCTGCAACCATAAGATTAAGTACATATAGAACAGGCTAGAACTGGAATAAGATTAAGTGAACTCACTTTCGTAGGCATTCATCGTAGAATCCATATACTTGTGTGATCTGCAACCATTGTGGAAACATACTTTCAGTTTGAGAACAAAAATACATGACAAATGAATCACTAAAACAGCATCAAAATTATAATAAAGCAAATTATGCATAAAACAGAAGATGTAAGATTCAAAACAGAGAAGCCTGCTCCATTTTCCATTCAAACTGAGATAATGACAGCTACTGAGCTACAAACATCAACACATAAGCATTGGGAAGATAATATCTATAGTACCTGCCGACTCTCATGGTTTCCGCGGAGGATTGTAATCCGATGTGGGTGGCGAACCTTCAGTGCTACCAAGAGCTGGATAAGAAATATCATTAAGTACATATAACATGAACTCAGACATAGTATCATTGGAAAGAATAACTGATTAAGTGAAACTCCACTAGTAAGATCTTTTACAGACTGAATGAAGAACAGATGGTGGTATATGAACACGAGTAGGTTGATTCTTACCGAAACAGTCTCAACAGAGTAGTATCCACGATCCACATAATCCCCCATAAACAAATAATTAGTATCAGGACACTGCATAAAAAAGATTAGCCATTAGTGCAATGTTCAATGCATTGTTTTAAAGCAGGGTAGGAATAAATAAAGGTGAGCTAACAAAAGTAATACCTTCCCGCCAATCCGGAAAAGCTCAACAAAATCATGGAATTGTCCGTGAATATCACCACAGATTGTCACTGGGCTTTTCACTGGCTGCATAACAAAAGAAAATGCAAAAGCTTAAAGCCAATGCTTATCTGCCGATGTACCCATACATGTAAACAATTTCAGATGATGATTGTATAAATACTTGTTAAGGTATCAGAGTGGAACTTTGCATTATTTCATGATTTACAAAAGAGATAACAATTAAGTACTGTAGATCAAATGGATGTGATAGAAGAAAACCTTAAATTACCATATCTCATTTTAGCATCAGCAATTGACTGTTTATGGGTTGAAAAAAGAAACAAATAATAGGATATAACTGAATTTATTTAAAGTCAAATTATTGATCAGAATGCCCTTGAGCCTTGACACATTGGACTGAATAAAGGAAACAGCTATCTGAACAATAAAATGAGGATGATGTTGCTCAAGCGCAGTGCCAAGATCCAAGACAGTATAATAAGTTCAAACAACCTTTGGAACCAGCTACAAAGGTTCCCGTCGCATGTATAACAAAAGATACACTGCACAGCAGTGAAATAAGAACCGATAGTATGTGATACCTGAACATTGCTTTCCTCCATCAATATCTCCTTAGCCTTCTCACATAGTGCTTTAACCTGCACATGTGGGGTCGTAAGGACACAAGTCAAATCTCTGATTCCAGGAATGTTAGAAACGTAAACTCTATAAATGTTTATGGGCATCAAATATTCCTGTTTCTGACCAACAGCACACACAACATCCTTCCCTAAAAAAACACACACACACAACACCCAAATCAACCCAAATGTATATGAACGACGTCCTGCAGGTGATATACTTGACCTTTATTCTTTCTTTTTTTGAGGAAGATGCACTTGCCCCTAAAGATGCCGTTTTCCCTACTGAAATGGCGCTGGAGACAAATTTGTCTTCTACAAAGAACGGTACAGTGACAATAGGAGCTTGCAAAAATTCCTATTTTGACGCTGCTTTACCGCGACTATTACAGGAGATCTATCCGGAGAGACCAAATCTGAAGCACAGCAGCAGAATGATTCAAAAACGGCCCTTGGACAGGGGCAAGCTAGACGGCATATCTATCATCCCCCAAACCGTCCAGCATAACAAACAGCACCCGAATCACCGGATCACGCCCCGAATCCAGGGCCTCGAACCAGCAGCCCAGCCGTTAAAAAACCCTAGAGGCGGCCCCCCTCGATAACAGATCAAAACGAGCACTCGCCAGATCCGGCGGAAGCGCCGGCGAGGGAACGAGCGAGAAAGCCAGATGGAACGGCGGACAGAAGCGTGCGGAAATCTCACCTCTTGCTCGGCGAGCGGGCGGCACTGCAAGAGCTGCTCGATCTGCGCGTCCAGGCCGCCGCAGCCGCTGCTGTCCACGCTCATGGGCTCCATGTCCTCTGCCGCCCGCGTCCTCCTCCGCCGGCCGTGGGAAAGGGCAACCTGAGCTGGAGCTCGTCGCC